CCCCCCCTCCCCGGCCAACCTAATGCAATACTAGGATCTAGCCCCTTCAGTGTTTTTCAAGAAACAGTCGGCAGATAATATATTTTTTGTCTCAAATTCTACCATGACATTGTAGGTAGGCAGGATCACATCGCTGATAATAAAGACTGTGATAAGAGGGAAGTGCAGGAGTTCAAAATTTTAAAGGCGTGCAATTAGCTCAGTTGTTATTAACGGAACTTTGTTTCCATTTCACCTACTATGGTAGTTTTCAAGGCACTGAATCTACTTGGAGCTAAAACGCCTGCATTTGAAAAAACATTTTCACCTTCATGGTACGGTCAAGTTGACAATGGAGTTAAAAATGTGTCGGACCCACCCCTGAATTGCCTTACAGTTTTGAAAGAAGTGTTATATCCAGTGTGCACTATGTCATAACTTCAACGTTCTAGCGTTTCTTCACATATTCACGGGGAACAAACCTTCTTTATTTTCTTCACTTGAGAAGAGCAGCAGTGAATAGTATCTTGTCTTCTTTTTTTTGGAAAGAGGGGGGTGGAGTGGGGTGGAGGGACGATTGCTCATATGAGGCTTTTGTTGGTGTCTCAGACAGTCCGCGAAATTTACAAAACCGAATTCTGCCGCCACTGAAGTTGCGTATTGCACAGTTATCAGCTCGCTTTGTGCTTTTTAAAATTTGACATTAATGAAGGGAAAATCCCCCCCTTTTTTTTCACCCAACACACATATGCCGAAATGAAACAACAACAAACAAAAAACAACAAAAACAAACAAACAAACAAACAAACAAACAAACAAACAAAACATGCAAAATACAACGAACGTTCAAAACACATGAAAAAAATAATGATAAAAGCAAGCAGTCCCGCCTCCCTCCCCCCGACGAACCACATAGTAAAGAGAGGCAAAGGCATCGTAGGACACCAGACAAGGCTTGACTTTGTTGACCACCACTGGACAGCCCGGATGGAAAAACTCCGGAGGCAGATCGTCCTCGTCGCTCACCTCTATGGTCACAGTCGCAAAAGTCTTCAGACCGTGAATGTCCTGAAAGAAAAATGTATAATTGGGAAGAAAAAAAATAGCTAACTTATCTTAATACAGATTTTTGTATCGAAAAATACCAGGTCAATATTTCTTTGAATATTGAAAGAAATGTAAACGTCTCCATTTTCCATTATATGAGTTGTCTTTTGCCCACAGGCGAAATAAATAAAGATGGACAGTTCCGGACTTTTAAACTGAAAATATATTGCACTCAACAAAAAAGTGGCTCACCTAACTAAAATGACGCCAGAGTCTGTAAAATCAAGAAGGATACTGACCGAAGCTGACACATTGAGATGAAGTTGGTCCGAGTCTATTGCCTTTAGGGTTTCGTAATCAAGGCGCTTCTTCAGAAACACGGAACCATTCTGCACATTTGGCATCCGGAAGTACGCCCTCCCATCATGCTATAAATGTAGATAAAAAGAAACAGAAAAACAAATTCATTAAAGGGTCAGAACCTGCAATAGATTAACTGGTTAGCAAACATATTGAAATGTACACAGGTCGTCAGAGGTTGCAATGAGATCGAATGGAAGAAGTGAGGATGGTCTGAAATTTAAGATAACAGAAATGCGGCATTCTTATTATATCGCTCAAAAACTACTAATCGTAGACACCACACTGGACACAATAAAGGTCATTTTGAAGGTTCGCTCTTTGGTTTCCCGTCCGGACAGCAAGCTAAGAGACAAACATTTTTTTAAAATAAAAAAGGACCCTACCAAAGATTCGATCTCTGAGCCTCCACGAAGGTCCCGTGTTCCGGAACAAAATGCATCTTTGCTGTCGATTTTCATTTTTGTGTACGATAAACGAAACATCACACAGAAAAAAACCTAGAATATAATAAGTAATGTTCATGTTTGGTTTTTATAAGATATTTCAAGTGCCACTGGCGGTTCATCTTGATCTTTCCTAAATAATATAATTATAAGGACGCTAATCTGTTCCGGGCGAAATGTGGAGTTAGGCACCTCGCTGACCCGAGGCTCATGATAGAAATCTGTTCAACCTATCACAGAACCGGAGCTAAGGGAGCGCCCCCAGAGATCAGGACTATATTTTAAATTATATTGTCCAAGTGTTGTATTACAGCAAACGTCTAAACTAAGTACGTGAATAGAGAAGAAAGACCCTGGTAAACTGAGAGTGTGTTGGAACTTATTTGGTTTTTTTGTTTTTGTAAAGTGTTTTACGGCGCTCGCAACTGCATAGGTCATATGAGCGCGCGGGACACACCGAATATTTTCAGTTGGTAGGAAATTTTGAATTTTGCCCGGGTGGCGGCCGAAGCCTACTCTTATCGATTTTAGACCACCAAGGGA